GTCATTGCTTATCGCAAGTGATTTTTTCCAGAACTGCTCTGCTTCGTCTGTATTGCCCTGACGATAAGTAACGCTGGCGAGGTTGTTCAAGGTCGAAACGCTCTGCGGTACTATGGCATGAGCTTTTTGGAGTTGGGCTGCGGCTTCGTCCAACCTGCCCAGTCTGGTTAAGAACGTTGCAAATGCGTGGTAGCTAAACCAGTATTCAGGTTCAATTCTGATGGCTGCCAGATAAGTCTGCTCTGCCTCGAGCTTTTCGAAATCATCATTGTTCAATACCGCTCGTTCTTCCAGGACTCCGGCTAACTCAAGCCTCACGTCTGCGGACTGTTGATTTAAACTAGAGGCTGCACTCAACTCAGCAAGTGCGCGGTCCAGGTCACCCAACTCTTTGTAGTACCGACCCAGAGCCAAACGTACAGTATACAAACCTTCACCCGCACCATTCAGTTTTTCACAGGCCGCTCCCGCGGCAGAAAAATTAGAATAGCTCTCCTTGTATGCTCGAAGGTGAGCACTACAGAGACCAGCGCTCGCCCAGATATAACTCGGATCAAGTTTTATCGCAGCGTCGAACAGATCGATTGCACTTTCTAACAAGGTTGCAGAAACAATGGGTTGCCTCATGATCTCCTGTGCTTCCAACAGGTTTGCATATGCTTCGGGGGAACTCGTTGAAATCTGAGCCAGCCGCGTCTGATTTAACGCAGATAAGCCTTCGGGAAAAAACACCTGCGCAACGCTCTGAGCAATTTCGGCTTGTATAGCTGGTATACGCTGTTCGGATTGGTTGTCGTAGCTGTTGCTCCAGCGCAAAACTTCAGTACCTTCAGATACATCTATAAGTTCTATCTGGACTCTGAAGCGGTCTTGCTGGCGGCGGATGTAACCGGTGAGCAGGGCTGAAACATTCAGTGAATTGGCGATATCAACAAAAGTTTCTTCGCTTTGACGTTGTTGGTTGTATGCAAACGACGATCGTCTGGGGGCAACCTGTAAGCCTTCGATGGCTACCAGCCGATTGAGGAGGTCTTCAGATAATGATTCCGGATAATACGGGTCCGTCTCAAACCCACCCCGGTTTTCAAAGGGTAACAGAGCCAGTGAACGTTCAGGGGTTGAATCTGCAAGCGGTTTCGATGGCTGTGGAGGCTCGTACAGCCACCACCCACCGATCACTATTGCCACGATTAACATTATAACAACAGCAGCTACCCGCCGGAATGGCAGGTTGCTGGTCTCTGGCGGCCCGCTTTTAGCACTCAGGTTGTCATAGGTGCCATTTTCAGGGCTTAAAGAAGATCGGAGCACGCTTGTTGCATCCGCCTGGATAGCTTCTACGATCACTGATCGGAAACGCGTTATGTCATGGCGTTCCTTGAAGACAGCCTGCACACCACCCAGGGAAAGCGCTAAGCCTGGTGGTAGCTCGGTGTCTTCCAGATAGATAACAAGAATCGGGACGTTGTTGGCAATAGCGTACTGAACCTCGTCGCGACAGTGTTTCGAGGCAACCGATCTGGGGGTCACAAAGAACAACAGCTTGTGCGAGCCACGAATAGCCTGAGCTAACTCATCTGTCCATTCAGCACCCGGACGAATGCCTTCGTCGTACCAGATATTCACGCCAAGGTCGCTCAGAGAGGAGATTTCCTCATAGACTTGAGAGTGATCCTGGTGTGAGTAACAGACAAAAACAAACTCGTCGTTTCCACTGTAAGCTGGTAACGGTGTGTCCAACCTGCAAATCCGCTAAATTCAGGCGGTCAGTGTACAACAAACTCTCTTCTGGCTCGCTGTTCAGAGATAGTCATTGTCAGACTGCATCAGTGTTATCCTGTTTATTCGGACGACGATTGAAATGATCTGGGGAAACGGTTTGAAAAGAATGATTTGGTTTTTAGGTTTATTCATGTTGGGCGGCTGCACAGCGACATCAAATGTAGACATTTACCTGACCAATATTACGCCGCTGCCATCAACGCTGTTTGAACAACGCGTGCGGCTGGATTTGCGCGTGAAAAATCTGAGTGAAGCGCCCATACAGGCCACTGGTATTGATGTCGCGCTGCGCCTTAACGGCAAACGTTTGGCGCGCGGTGTAGACGGTCAGGCGATCAGTGTTCCCAGGTTGGGTGAAACCACGGCGTCAGTGGTCGTCAGTTCAAGTATTTTTGATACGGTCACGCAGCTACTGTCAATGCGCGAGCGCGATACCTTTACCTATGGCTTAAGCGGCAAACTCATTACCCAGGGCATCGATAAGCGCTTCAACCGCAGCGGTGAGATCAGCCGGGCTGATCTGCAGCCGCTGGTGCAGGCGACTAACTGAGACAGCTGGCCTTTGATCTGCGAACGGTCAAACTTCGCGAACAAATTGCGCCATGCTGGCGGCAGTCTCGCGACTGATGTCCGGGCAGGCAATTGCAAATATTTCAACCCCGTGAGTGGTGCCCATGACCTGTCTGCAGCGTGCGGAGACGCCAGCACGCAGCAGGGTTCGATAAAACTCAATGCCTTCATCTCTCAGCGGATCACATTCGTTCACGCTGATGACGCAGGGTACGAGGCCTTTAACGTCTTTTTCGGTGGCAAAACTCGGCCACGCCAGCACATTTTTTTCGTTGAACGCGTCGATGCCGTAGGCCATGGCACCCCGATTGGAATGCAGTTCAAGCAGGATGCCGTTGTTTTCTGTGGATGATGGAAAACGCGCTTGTGGCCATTGCCCCGCGATGTAAGGGCACAGGGCGTATAAACCTCGAATCAGATTCAAGTCGCCGTCTGCTTTGAGCTTGAGGCCAGTTGCCAGGGTCAGGTTACCGCCACCGCTTTCTCCCGCGACGATAATGTGATTGGTATCGATATTAAAAGCTTCAGCCTCATCGATGACCCATTTCAAGCCGGATACACAATCGTTTAAACCTGCTGGAAAAGGCGCAACCTCTGGCGCTGACGAAGGCGTTAACGCGTTGCGGAAATCTACCATGGCCACGGCGACACCTTGCTGAGCCATGATTTTGCCCCAGGCGCGATACATGCCATCGTAACAGGACAGCGATTGCATGCCGCCCCCGTGGATATAGTAAATGCAGGGTAACTTTTCGCCGTTATCAGGACGGATAAAGCGAAGCTTTATGGTGTTGTTATCTGGTGACGACACGAAGCTGTGTTCGCTGATGGTAAGTCCATCGGAAGGCGCAACCTGTTCATTGTCGATCATGTCCATGATCGCTTTCATTTGTTCCTGCGCAGCCTTGGCTTCGTCGCTGTTAACTTCAGCTAACAGTTCTTCCCGACTGCTGACGTCGCTGGTTTCACTGGTAGGCATAGCGCCCATGAAAGTCTTGATGCGGGGATCAATTCGGGGGTCGTTTAAGATTTTAGACATGGCTGGAATACCTGCAATTATTTGCAGGTATTCAACCATAAATCATCTGTGAAATGGCGTAGCTTTGATCTTTACTGTCAGACGACGCCGTAAGCAATCATGGCATCTGCCACTTTGATGAATCCGGCAATGTTTGCGCCTTTCACGTAGTCAATGTAGCCATCATCAGTTTTACCGTATTCAACACAGCTGCTGTGAATATCACCCATAATGTTGCGCAGCAGGGTCTGCAGTTCTTCTTCTTTCCAGGTGATTCGTGCACTGTTCTGGCTCATTTCCAGGCCGGATATGGCCACACCACCAGCGTTGGCGGCTTTGCTGGGCGCAAACAACACCTTTGCGTTAACAAAGTCGTGGATGCCGTCCTGTTCGGTGGGCATGTTTGCGCCTTCGGATACGGCCATGATGCCGTTTTTGATCAGGGTCTGTGCCTCTTTCTGGCTGATTTCGTTCTGGGTCGCGCAGGGCAGGGCGACATCAGCCTCTATCTGCCAGGGGCGTTTACCTGCATGGAAGTCGACACCAAATTCCTTGGCATATTCTTCAATGCGGCCACGTTTGACGTTCTTCAATTCCATCAGGAAAGCCAGACGCTCTTCGTCTATGCCGTGTGGATCATGAATAAACCCACTGGAATCAGATGCGGTTATCGCTTTGCCACCCAGCTGATTAATTTTTTCGATGGCGTAAGTTGCCACGTTACCTGATCCGGAGACCAGGCAACTCTTTCCTTCAATATCGTTGTCGGCTTGCTTGAGCATGTCCTGCAGCATGTAAACGGTGCCATATCCTGTGGCTTCCGTGCGTATCGGGCTACCGCCATATTCACGACCTTTGCCGGTCAGCGTACCTGTGAAGCGGTTGGTGATGCGTTTCCATTGCCCGAACAGGTAGCCTATTTCGCGACCGCCAACGCCGATATCTCCTGCGGGTACGTCAGTATCTTCACCCACATGTCGATAAAGTTCAGTCATGAATGACTGGCAGAAGCGCATTATTTCGTTGTCTGATTTACCTTTCGGATTGAAGTCACTGCCACCTTTCCCGCCACCCATGGGTAGCCCTGTCAGACTGTTCTTGAAGGTTTGTTCAAAGGCTAAAAATTTGAGGATGCTCTGATTGACGGAAGGGTGGAACCTCAAGCCGCCTTTGTACGGACCAATTGCATTATTATTCTGTACACGATAGCCACGATTAACGCGGATGTTGCCATTGTCGTCTTCCCAGCAGACGCGGAAACTGATGACCCGATCGGGTTCCGCCATGCGACGCAGGATCTGCATCTCATGGTAAATCTCTTTGTCAGCGATGTAGTCGAATACATTAGCCGCTACTTCGTAAACGGCCTGGTGGAACTCGGTTTCACCAGGGTTCCTGCGTTTCAGTCCCTGCATGAATTCGTCTAAATTGACATGATCTGATACGGCCATGGTTATCCTTTTCAACGTGTATCTGGTGTACGCCGGCAGATGCTGTGCAATACACAGAATCTTGTGACTTTAGTGAGTCTAGACCACAGTTGGGAATCGTAAAATATCGCGGCGGCAGTTATCTGCAACATTGAGTTGCAGATTCGCCCGATCAGACTGCAGATCAGTCAGCTAACACCTCAGTCGGCGATTCGATAAGCAATCACGTAACCCCCTTCCGCGTTCTTATCAAGTGCTTTGCGCGCCGCATTCTCTCTTGCCAGGGGGGCGCCAATACCGTCAGGAACGGTGATCAGCACATACTGGTGACCTGTCGCCGGACTGACGTAACTCATCGGCGTGGCTTGCGCTGATGCGGGTAGTTTATCGGTCCAGAGCTCTTCACCGGTGAGAATATCAATGGCGCGCATGGTGCTATCCAGTACGCCACCGTTGAATATCAGGCCGCCGCCGGTGACCGCTGAGCCTGCCTGGTAAAACATGCCCATAGGCAGCGGCAGGCCGGTTTTGATGCCTAATGGTCCCTGTTCTGCTGCGGTACCCAACGGTCGGCGCCAGAGAGTCTGCTGGGTGGTTAAGTCGACAACGGCCATTTCTCCGTAAGGTGGTCGCAAACAGGGCGCAAACAACGGCGACAGGAAAGGCATCGAGTAAACTGCATAAGGTGTGCCTGTCTGGCGGCCGCCCAGGCCGTAGGTTGTGTCTTCACTGACTTCATCACGAGGAATAAGGCGCACAACAAATGGCATGTGCAGCGCATTGACAACCATCAACTGGTTGACCTCATCCACTGCAACGCTGCCCCAGTTCATGCCCCCGGCAATGCCAGGGTAATACAACGTACCCTGTAGCGAAGGTGGGGTCATCGGACCTTCATATCTGAGTTTTGCAAAGGTAATGCGGCAGGCGAGTTGATCGAAGGGTGTGATGCCCCACATGTCCACACCGCTGAGGGGCGCGCGTGCAAAGCTTGGCATGCCCGTTGAAAAAGGTTGTGTAGGGGTTGTGTACTCGTCGGGCACGTCTGTTTGAGGCGTCGGCACTTCTGTTATTTCAGTCAGTGGCTCGCCTGTTTCCCGATCTAACAGGAAAATTTCGGCGCGCTTGGTGGGTACAATAACCGCTTTGCGCAGCCCGCCCTGCATGGGAATATCGACCAGGGTCGGTTGCGAAGGTACATCATAGTCCCAGATGTCGTGATGGGTGGTCTGGTAGTGCCAGCGAACCCTTCCGGTATCCGCCTCCAGAGCCACCACTGAGCTGGCGTACTTCTCCATGGCTTCGCTGCGGTGCCCGCCATAGTAGTCGGGTGTTGCGTTTCCGGTGGGTACGTAGACTAAGCCGAGCGCTTCATCAGCACTGGTAAGACTCCATACGTTGGGCGTACCGCGGGTATATGATTCGCCTGCCGGCGGTAAACCTGAACGGTCTTCCCGACCCATATCCCAGGCCCATTTGAGTGCTCCGGTAGAGGGGTCAAAACCCCGTACAACGCCAGAAGGTTCTTCCACTTCCTGGTTATCGGCGACCCAGCCACCCAGTACAAGGGTATTGTTTGCAATTGTCGGCGGGGAAGTTACAAAGTAGAAACCTGGTTTGACGTCCCCCATACCCGGCAGCAGGCTGATTTCGCCGTTGTCGCCAAAATCACTGCAGCGCTCGCCGGTTTGGCTGTCTACGGCTAACAGACGGGCATCCGTTGTGGCGGTGAAGATGCGCTCGGGGCAGATGTCACCCGTAGTAAGTGCGGGTGCTTTGTAATAGGTGACGCCGCGACAGGTGTCCCAGAATCCAAATGGTGGGGTGCTGATCTGCGGATCGAAACGCCACTGTTCGGCACCCGTGTCCGGATCGAGGGAGATAATGATGTTCTGCCCGGTACACAGGTAAAGGCCATTGCCGACCTGTATTGGAGTGCCTTTGAAGGTACCTGGTATTTTTGTTCGATGAGTCCAGGCACGTTGCAGCTGGGCCACATTTTCGGTGTTGATCTGTTCGTGAGGCGCGAAGCGGGTGCCCGCTTTACTGGCACCATAATCAGTCCAGTCACCGGAGGGTGACGTGGCCGTGCCAGAGGCCAAACCCTGCGCGGACCCGACGTCGTGGCCTTGATTGGCCACAAATAAGGCAATCACAAAAACGGCGATCAAGGCGGCGCTGATCTGCGCGGTTCTTAGTTGAAGTAGTGGTTGTACCGGTTGTTGTGCCAGACCGCGTCGGGTTCTAGGTAACAGGAACCATAATCCCAGAACCGCGAAAAACCCCAACCTTGGCATCAGCGCCCACGGATCAAGCTGTACCTCGTAAAGCGACCAGGCGACAGTGAGGATAAAAAATCCACTGTAAAGCAGCGCGCCCTGCTGATCGCCGCGAAAGACCAGAATCCCACTGATCAGCAGGCCAGCACCTGCGGCAACATAGTAAAACGACCCACCTGCAATCAGTAAGTTGGCGCCCATCACAAGTAAAACCAGGCCGATCAGCATCAGTGTGATGCCTAAAGCTCTTGGTTTCGGATAATTGGGTTTTGTCATTCTGACCCTCTTCTGCTCAACGTTAATCCCCGGCAGGTATGGTCGCACAGGTCGATTGAGGCTGCGAATTGAAAAACACAATTGGATAAGGAGTTACTGGCATCCAGAGGGCTGCCGCATTAGTATCGTTAGCTTCGGCGTGTAGCGCAGTCTGGTAGCGCATCTGTCTCGGGGTCAGAGGGTCGGGAGTTCGAATCTCTCCACGCCGACCAGAATAAAGATGCTCATCGATCTGGGCGGTTGCCGGCCCTGGGGTATCAGCCGACGCTAAAGAAGCTCGTTGGCCAACCTGTCCAGTTCGCTGAGGATATTATCCTCTTTATAGAAACCCAGCATCGGTATCAAGCGCTGGATACCCAGGGCTGCGTAGTCTTCCATCATCGATTTTGTCGGTGGTTTGGGCGGCGTCAGTGACAGCTCAATTTCACCGAGGTTTTCCGGTCTCTGGTAGCGTGCCTGGGCAAGCTTAATTGCGTCAACCGCTTTGGCGGTGGCTGCAACGTCCAAAGCAAAGCCATACCAACCGTTGCCATGGGTGATGGTGCGCCGCATAGCAGCGGGGCTCGCGCCACCAATTATGACGGGCGGGCCACCGGTTTGAACCGGGCGTGGTTGTGCGTCTATGTTGTCGTAGTTGATGAATTTACCCTGGAAGCTGGGCTTTTCCGCACACCACATATTACGCAACACATCGATGTACTCATCCGTACGTGCACCTCGAGAGGCAAAGTCAACGCCTAAGGCATCAAATTCCTGATGCAGATATCCGGCCCCAACACCAAACAACAGTCTGCCGTTGCTTAAAACATCCAGACTGCTGATTTCTTTGGCCAGTACCAGTGGGTTACGCTGCGCAATCAAGGTAATGCCGGTGCCAAACTTAAGCGTTTTTGTCACAGCAGACAGATAGGCCAATGAGGTTGAGGGGTGTAACATGTCGGTTTGCGGATCAGCGGGTGAAGGGGCCTGGCGAGGGTCCGGCAGGACAACATGTTCGCCTGTCCAGACTGATTCAAAACCCAGTGTTTCCGCATGGATCGCCACTTTGGCAGCCCACTGTGGTTGTGCCAGGAAATTCATGTTGATACCAAATAGACCAATCTTCATCTTTTTTCCTACCCTAAAATGCGTTCGCGTTTGTATAACATGATGGCTACCCAGGCCAGTAGCACCGCACCCACAATGGTTGTTGTCATGGAGGTCAGTGCATTGGTGATAGCCACGGGCTCGCCCTTGATCAGGTCCGCCATCAGAATTGCCTGGCTCAAGCTCGGCACAAGCATGACGGTCAGACTGTTTTCGATGTTCAGGAGTTGCGCCAGAATCAACGGCAACGTGGGCACCAGCACAACGATCGTCAAATAGGTCTGCGCCTCTTTGTAGCTTTTTGCAAACGAGGCCACCACTGTAAGCAGAGCCGCGGCAAAAAAGATCAGCGGAATCGAGATCACCAGAATCGATAAGATCTGGGTTAAGCCTATCTCCAGCGCCATGCCGATCCGTTCGAACGGTACAAAGGGCACAGCAAAATATAAACTGATTAAAAACACCAGCAGGCTGAGGGTGCCAAACACTGAGGTGGCGGCAATTTTACCCAGCACCAGCTCCGCACGCTCAACGGGTTGGGTTAACAAAGGTTCTAACGAGCCGTGTTCCCGTTCACCGGCGGTGGTGTCAATGGCGAGGTAAAAGCCGCCCATAAAAATGGCCAGTACCAGGAAGTAGGGGAGTGATGCCAGAATGGTCAGCGCCCGCGCTGCTGGAGAAGCAACGTCCAGTTCCTGGGTGCTTATCGGGTTACTGATGCTGGGGTCTAGACCACGTAGCCACAACCGCAAAGTACCAATCGTTCGGCTGTACTGGCCAATCAGACCGCGAAGCTGGCCGAGGCTGCGTCGGGTAGATGAGATTTCGCTGCTGTCGTGAATCAGCATCAGCGTGTTGACGTTGCCGCGGGCGTAGCGCTCTGCGTAGTCGGGGTTAATTACCAATACCAGCTTGTGATCACCATTGACCACCAGATCCCTGGGTTCTTCTGCTGTCACCTCTTTGATATCAGTATTCTGTTGTCGCAGGTATGACATCAGTTCAGGCGCATAGGTTGCGCCTGCTACCGCAAAAGTGACCGGTTCATCAGATTCACCCAGTGCTCTATCAAGTACAAACACCATGATACCGACAAAAAATACCGGACCCAGGATGGCGACAGAGAAGGATGAGAACAGCGTGCGTTTATCACGTGCATTGTCGATAAACTCTTTTAGAAAAACTACGGTAAATCGATTCATCCTTCGCTGTCCTCGCTCAGGTCGGCCAGCTGGACAAAAGCCTCTTCGAGATCTTCGGTGCCTGCGTGGGCACGCAACTCGGCGATGGTGCCGTCAAATTTGACCTGACCATGCGCGATGACAATAACATCGTCACACAGGGCATCTACTTCCTGCATGATATGGCTGGAGAACAGCACACATTTGCCAGCTTCTTTGAGCCTGCGAATAATATTCCGCAGCGCCCGTGTTGCCATCACATCAAGCCCGTTGGTTGGCTCATCCAATACAACATGCTGGGGGTCGTGAATCAGCGCGCGTGCCAGGGCAACTTTAATTTTCTGTCCTTGCGAGAAACCCGCGGTTCGTCTGGCGCAGAAATCTTTCATATCAAGTTGTTCAACCAGAGCCTCGATCCGCGGTTCCAGCTCCTGTTTACTCAAGTTCTGCAGGCGCCCGAAGTAGCGGATATTCTCAATACCGGTTAGGCGGGCGTAGAGGCCTGAGTTGTGCGGTAGCACGCCCAGTTGACGGCGCACAGCCATGGGATGAGTGGTGACGTCCAAACCCGCAACCATTGCTTTGCCGACGTCAGGTTCCGCGACCGTCGATAGAATGCGCAACGTCGTCGATTTGCCGGCGCCATTCGGTCCGAGCAGCGCGGTGATGCGACTGTCCTTTGCGGTGAAGGAAACACCGCGAACAGCATGGACTTTGCCATAACTCTTTTCGAGATTTTCTATCTGGATCATGGTGGCGGCCCCATCAGATCAACAAAGAAGGGGTAGGTGCCCAGGTGTTCTACACAGCTTGCGTCAATCTCGTTGGGGTCAGCGCTTTCTACAAATTCCAGAATCAGCCGCGGGATACATCCCTGTGCAATAGTGCCATGCCCCTGACCGGGTGCGACGATATGTTTGGCTTTGGATAAACCCGGCATGACAGCGTCGCCATACGCTGGTGGTGTGATCGGATCGAACTCGCCTGATAAAACAAGTGTCGGCACGTTACTGACTAAGGGCTGCTTCATGTCTTTGTCTATCACGCCTGATGGCCACGTAGAGCACATGGTTTTCAGCGTGTCGTACATCTCGCGACCCAGGTAGGTTTTTTCCAGGCGTTCGAAGTCGACTTCAGCATCATCGAAGAACGGCGCATCTTCGGTGCAGACCACTGCGTTGTGCATACCGTAATTCATGCTGTCGTTTAACTGATGCAGCATACGTAGGGCTGAAGCCGCAATCGGTAGAAAATTCCCGGCGTTGGCGGCCTCATCAATGATCAGTGGTATCAGCGCGCTTGTTGCAGGGGCATACAGCGCCAGTCTGATCCACACTGCAAGGTGACCGTAGCCGACTTCGATGTCCGTTGTTAACCCGGTGACCGGGTGTTGTATGTTCATTGCTACCGGATCGTTACGCAGTCTTTCGCGCAGGCGCTCAAAATCTTCTGCAAGATTCGGAAACTGAACGCCGCAGCTAGGGTGTTGTTGGCATCGGTCAAACAAACCGTCCAGCGTCTGCTGGCTGTTCAGCGCAACGTTTTCACCCAACACCTTTGTTGGCGGCACGACGCCGTCGATAACAACGCTGCGTAATGATTCCGGATACGTTCGCATGTACTGCATGGCGACGCGGGTACCATAAGACACTCCGTAGACACTGAGTTGCTCATATTTCAGCGCAATTCGTAGCGCTTCCAGATCTTCGACGGCAACAGTGGTTGAAAAAAAACGTGGGTCGTGGGGCAGCTTGTCGATACAGTCCTGGGTCAGCGCAACAGTTTGCTCGGCGTCGAGAATTTCCGTTGAATCTGTCAGTGCCTGGCAGACCAGGGGGGCTGAGTCGCCGGTGCCGCGCTGATCAATAACCACTACGTCGCGTTCTCGGGTGAAGGCCTGCAGCACAGGCGCCAGGTCGACCATCATCTGTACAGAAGATGCGCCGGGCCCACCATTGATGATGGTGAAGGCATCCGCCGCCGGTTGTAACGCGGTTGATGCGAGTTTTGTGACAAACAGCTGTACGCTAGGACCATCTGGATCAGCAGGGTCCAGTGGTCGTGTCCAGGTGGCGCACTGGGCTTGTAAATTGCCGTTGCCTGCTGAACCCGTGACATAACAAGGTTCAAAATCAATGGCCGCAAAAGCGTGTCTGCTCAGAAGAACAATTGTGGCGAAGACGGTTAGCCGGTATAGCCGGCGAAAAACGGAAATGGACATAAATGTAATGTGAACTAAAACAGGCGAGCAGTACTGTACTGCGTCACGGTACGCATCGCATCTACATGTTGGTTTTGCGGTAGTTTGTCGAGTTCAGCAAGGGCTGCCTCAGATTCAGCAACAGCGGCCTGATGGGTATAATCAAGCGCGCCACTTTCCTGCACAATTGTGACTATGTCAGCCAGTTGAGCGGCGCTTTTTTCGCGGATGGCGCCTTCGATTATCTGTTGATCATTTGCAGAGCTGTTCTGCAACGCAAATATTAATGGCAGCGTCAGTTTACCTTCCGCGAGATCATCGCCAACGTTTTTGCCCAGCAGTTTGCTGTCGCCAGCGTAATCGAGCCAATCGTCAACCAGCTGATAGGTAATACCAAAATGCTGGCCAAACTGGCGCAACGCATCGACATGTTGCGGGTTGGGTTGCTCTACCACCAGCGCACCGGTGTGTGCTGCGGCCTCAAATAAAAGTGCGGTCTTGCAGCGGATCACTTCACGATATTGCGTTTCAGTAATGGCCAGATTGCCAACATTGGTCAGTTGCAGAACCTCACCTTCGGCAATTGTGTTGGTGGCTCGGGAAAGTACTTCCATGATCTCCATGCTGCCTACTTCAACCATCAGCTGAAATGCGCGGCTGTAGAGGAAGTCGCCGACCAGTACGCTGGGCGCGTTACCCCATTTTTCGTTTGCGGTTAAACGCCCGCGACGCATACCTGAATGATCAACCACATCGTCGTGGAGGAGGGTGGCAGTGTGCAGAAACTCGATTATCGCAGCGACGCTGATGTGTTTTTCGCCACGATAGCCCAGGGCACCGGAAGCCAACAGCACCATCAACGGGCGTAAGCGTTTGCCGCCGCTTTCAACGATATAGCTGCCGATCTCTTCTACCAGACCCACGACGGAGGTGAGTTTTTGCGGAATCAAAGTGTTTACGGCAGAAAAATCTTCTTGAACCAGGCTGTAAACCGGTGCCAGGGCGCTGATTTCACCCGCACTTCGACTCACGGAGGAGCTGATTGCGCTTTTCATACGTCCTGTCTTACCTGTCCTGTTTTACCTGTCTTTTAGCAAAGGGTGGGCATGAAGGTGGCCCGTAAATGACTTTAGGCCAACTTAACTCGTTGTAATCCAAAAACTTTGCCCTTAGAATTACGCGCCTTTCGCGCAGGGGCCCTGAAATCGGCGGCTCAGCCGGGTTTTTTTTACCCAGTTTATTGCGCACCCAAGTGCCCGACAGGTTTAAGAATACAGCCTGCGGCAGCTCAGGAGTAGAGTTATGTTTGCGGTTTTCCAAAGTGGCGGCAAACAACATCGTGTCAGTGAAGGCGATGTTGTGAAGCTAGAAAAAATTGTAGCCGAGCCCGGTGAAGAAGTAGTCTTCAATGAGGTCTTGATGGTTGCTAATGGTGACGACGTTAACGTCGGTGCACCATTTGTTGCAGGCAGCGCGGTTACCGGCGAAGTGGTTCGAACTGATCGCGGCAAAAAAGTCCGCATCATCAAGTTCAAGCGCCGCAAAGACTACATGCGTCGGCAGGGCCATCGTCAATGGTTTACCGAAGTTAAAATCACCGCTATCAGCTAGCGCACCAGGAGTTATTAGAGATGGCACATAAGAAAGCAGGCGGCAGTACCCGTAACGGTCGCGATTCAGAATCCAAGCGCCTGGGTCTGAAAAAATCCGGCGGACAATATGTTACCGCCGGTAATATCATCGTGCGTCAGCGCGGCACCCAGTTTCATCCTGGCTCCAATGTCGGTTGCGGAAAAGACCACACCCTTTTCGCCACCTCCGATGGTCACGTACAATTCGCGGTGAAAGGACGACTCAAGCGTCGCACCGTGAGTGTCGTTCCACAGGCATAAGCGCCGGCAGAATCAGATAAACCCCGCTTATGCGGGGTTTTTTTTAGCTAAGCGAAAAATACCATGCAATTTCTTGATGAAGCATCGATCCGTGTCCAGGCAGGCAAAGGTGGCAACGGTTGCTTGAGCTTCCGGCGTGAGAAATATATTGCCAAAGGCGGCCCGGATGGCGGCAACGGCGGTGATGGTGGAGACGTCTTCCTGGTGGCGGAAAGCAGCCTCAATACACTGATCGATTTTCGTTATCAGCCAGGCTACAAAGCTCAGAATGGTGCCTCAGGAGCCGGGCGCAACAAAACCGGCGCCGCCGGTGAGCACAGTTACATCAAGGTCCCGGTTGGGACCACCGTGGTGGATGATGAAACCCAGGAAACCCTGGGTGATCTCAGCGTTGCGGGGGAGACCTTGCTGGTCGCCAAAGGCGGTTATCGTGGCGTAGGTAACGCTGCGTTCAAGTCCAGCACCAACCGAGCCCCACGCAAGACTACGCCAGGCAAACCTGGTGAAGAGCGACGGCTGCGTCTGCAATTGAAGCTGATGGCTGATGTTGGTCTGTTAGGGCTGCCAAATGCAGGCAAATCGACCCTCATAGGGCAGGTGTCAGCGGCTAATCCGAAGGTTGCCGACTATCCCTTTACCACGCTGGTGCCGAGCCTGGGTGTTGTGCGCGTCGGCACCGACAGCAGCTTCGTGATGGCAGACATACCGGGCCTGATCAGTGGTGCCGCTGAAGGCGCCGGTCTTGGTGCCCAGTTTCTGCGCCACCTGGCACGGACACGGGTTCTTTTGCATCTGGTAGACGTATTACCTGAAGACGGCAGCGATCCCGAGGAAAATGCAGCGGCCATCGAAGCTGAATTGCAGCAGTACAGTGGCGCGCTGATGGAGCGGCCCATCTGGATTGCTCTGTCGAAAGTTGATCAACTGGAAGACGATGCGCTTGAGGCACTGAAACAGCGTTTTGAAAAGCGTTTTCCAGGTCGTCCGATTCATTGCATTTCTGCCCTGGGTGACGTCGGCCTGATCGAACTCACCCGCGCACTTATGCAGGCCCTGCAAACCCATCAGCGTCGTCTGATCGAAGATGAAGCGTTTGCTCAATATACCGAAGAGCTGCAGCAGCGTATCAGCGACGATGTGCTGGCTCATTCACAGAAAATGCGCGCAGCCAAACGCCACAACGACGATGACGACGACTTCGATGATGATGATGATGGCGGTGTTGAGGTGATCTACGTCAATGAGTGAGGTGCGCAATTCGCTGACCCGGGTCAAGAAAGTAGTCGTGAAGGTTGGCAGCGCCCTGCTCAGCGATCCGGAACACGGTTTGGATCGGCACAAAATTGACGCTTATTGTGAACAGATTGTGCAGTTGAAAAGTCAGCATATCGACGTGATTCTGGTGTCTTCTGGCGCAGTAGCAGCAGGCTGTCACAAGCTTGGCTGGGCGCGTCGTCCGGAAGCTGTCCATCAGTTGCAGGCCGCCGCTGCGGTAGGGCAGATGGGGCTTGCCCAGGCCTACGAAAGCGCTTTGTCTGAACACGGCCATGCCACCGCAATGATTATGTTGACCCATGACGATCTTGCTGATCGCGAACGTTATCTGAATGCCCGGGCAACCCTTTCGCAACTGCTGCAGCTCAATGTTGTACCGGTGATCAATGAAAACGATACCGTGGCGACCGACGAAATACGCTTTGGCGATAACGATACATTGGCCGCACTGGTGACCAACCTGGTTGAGGCCGACCTGCTGGTGATCCTGACCGATGTAGAAGGGCTTATGAATGCGGACCCAAGGGTAGATGCAGGGGCACGGCGCATCGCCCATAGTCGCGCACAGGCGCCGGCACTCGATGCGCTGGCGACTGCTGGTGCAGGCGCCATGGGTAGAGGTGGAATGCTGACCAAGCTCTCTGCTGCGCGTCTGGCCGCGCGCTCTGGTGCTAATACGGTCATCGCGTCTGGTCGCCAGGACAATGTGCTGTTGCAGGTGTTGGCAGGTGCCGATGTCGGTACGCTGCTAACTGCAGATTTGACCCCAATGACCGCGCGCAAACGTTGGTTGGCGGGTCAGTTGCGCGCGAAAGGCGATCTTGTGCTCGATGCAGGTGCAGCTAGAGCGGTCGCAGAACAAGGCGTCAGCCTGCTTGCTATCGGTGTGGTGAGTGTTAAGGGTTCTTTTCTGCGCGGCGACATGGTGCGCATGCTGGATGCAGGCGGCAGGGTGATCGCTCAGGGGCTGACTAATTATTCAAGTGACGAAGTGACTCGGCTTGCAGGTACCCATTCTGAACAGTTTGGGCAGCGGATCGATTACGTAGGTGAACCAGAGCTGGTTCACCGCGATAATCTTGTGGTGGTCTAGGCGGAGAGCGCTTTGACCTTTTTGTTCAAACGAGACTTGTGCCTCGCAGCTTTGTTCTTATGCATGATGCCTTTGGTTACCATCTTATCGATGAGAGGCAGAGCGTCAGCGAGCGCGGTGCCGGCTGCAGCGGCATCCTGGGAATCCAGGGCAGCATCTACGCGTTTAATGTAGGTGCGAACCATTGAACGCTGGCTTGCATTCTGAATGCGTCTTTTTTCTGATTGTCTGGCGCGCTTACGAGCCTGTGCACTGTTAGCCAAGAAATCCTCCAACAGGGGGCATAATTTTTGAGGGCGGCAATATGCCGCTCGAGTAGGTAGATGTCAACTAAAGACTCACGTGACAGCTTAGTAATCACAGCCCCAACAGAGGCTGTTGACGAAACATCGCAGAATATGACCCGTCAGGGCGGCGTCGTTGCCGCTATGACCCTGTTGTCCAGGATCAGCGGTTTGTTGCGCGATATCGTACTGTCTTACCTGTTTGGCGCGTCCCAGATGGCAGACATGTTTTTTGTCGCCCTGCGAATCCCCAACTTTTTCCGCCGTTTGTTTGCCGAAGGAGCATTTAATCAGGCGTTTGTGCCCGTGCTTATCCGCTACAAAAATACCAGCGTTGATGATCTGCTTGGGTTTATTGCACCTTTGTCCGGTTTCTTTGCTTCAGCACTGCTCCTGTTTGTCTGCGCTGGCGTGCTGCTTGCGCCGCAGCTGGCGTTATTGTTTGCTCCTGGGTTTGCTGATGAGCCTGGTGTGCTCAAGCAGACAGGCGAGCTGGTGCGTATTACCTTTCCTTATCTGGGTTTCATTTCGTTGACGGCTTACGCAGGTGCGCTGCTCAATGCGCACAATCGCTTTGCGCTCCCGGCATTCACCCCGGTGCTGTTGAATCTGACCTTGATCGGGGCAGCTGTCATTGCTCTGCAGGGCTGGTCCCTGTTGCCGGCTACTGAAATCCTGGCCTGGGGTGTGCTGGTGGCGGGTATTTTCCAATTGTTGTTTCAACTGCCATCCCTTGCCCGGCTGAAACTCCTGCCAAAGCCGACCTATGCCCACAAACATCCGGGTGTACGACAGGTGGGCAAATTGCTGTTGCCTGCGGTCCTGGCTGCATCGGTGGGTCAGATCAATGCGCTGGTTAACACTATTTTAGCCTCGACCCTTATCACCGGCAGTATCTCCTGGCTGTATTACGCGGATCGGTTGCTTGAGTTGCCTGTTGGTTTAGTGGCGGTTGCGTTGGGCACAGTGATGTTGCCGCACCTGTCCCGGATGGCGGCCACTGCTGATGAGAAACACTTTTGTGCCACCCTGGATTGGGGTGTGAATCTGGGTCTGATGCTGGCGCTGCCTGCAGCTGTGGCCTTATATATTCTGGCGCAGCCGTTGCTGGCAACGTTATTTATGAGTTTTGACAACGGCGCAATGACTAACCACGACATTCGTATGGCTGGTCTGGCACTGCAGATGTTTGCGGTGGCGCTGCCTGGTTTTGTGCTGGTCAAAGTCCTGTCACCGGCGTTTTTTGCCCATGAAAACACCCAGTCACCGTTTCGCTACGCAAGTATTGCTGTCGCGGTTAACCTGACGGTGAGTCTGTCGACCTTCAGTTGGTTTGGGCATGTGGGTCTTGCCTGGGCGACAGCGATCTCCGCCTGGTCCCATGTGCTGCTGCTGTACATTGGCTTGTCCCGCCGTGGTCTTTACCAGGCAACTGCGAGTCTCTGGCCGATGTTGTACAAAACACTCATCGGCACCTCGCTGCTGGGGGGATTGCTGATTTATGTGAGTGCCCAGTTTCAATGGCTGGCGATGTCAGGAGCGCTGCGTATCCTCTGGGTGGTTGGTATCAGCGCAGTAGGGGCCGGTTTATATGCGGGTGTTTTAGTCCTGCTTGGCGTGCGCACAAAACATCTCAAACACATGAGCGTTGCTTAGGCAGATTGCCTATAATCGGCGCGATGGAAATTATTCACGGCATTCACAACCTCAAAGCGCGGCACATTGGCAACGTCGTCACGATGGGCAATTTTGATGGTGTCCACAAAGGCCACCAGATGCTCCTCGACCACCTGCAGGAATTCAGCACGCGTTTGGGCGTGCCCAGCATGGTGGTCACGTTTGAACCTCAACCACGGGAATTTTTTGCTGGCAGTTCCGTGCCACCCCGTCTGACACGTCTGCGGGAAAAAGTAGCTCTGCTGCAGCGCACTGGTCTCGACCGTTTGTTGCTGCTGCCTTTCAACGAGAAAATTTCTCAAGCAGCGCCCAGCTGGATTACCGATGACCTGTTTCATCAGCGTCTGGGCGCCAAACATGTGATTGTCGGTGATGACTTTCGCTTTGGCCGCAAGCGTGAGGGCGATTACACGTTCATGCGTAACGCGGGTGAAGCGCTGGGGTTTGGCGTCAGCCAGACCCCGACCCTGGATATCGGCGGCGAACGCGTCAGCAGCAGTCGTGTGCGGGCTGTGCTCGGCACTGGAGACTTTGCCCAGGCGACTGAATTGCTGGGCCATGAATACTTCATCATGGGGCGAGTGGTTTATGGCCGCCAACTGGGCCGGCAACTGGGTGTGCCTACGGCAAACATACGTCTGCAGCGCTACAAAGCGGCATTGGAAGGGGTTTACTGTGTCACCGTAGAAGGCGCTGGTGAAGGTCCACATGATCCTGTGATCAGGCAGGGCATTGCCAACATAGGGGTACGTCCCACAGTGGACGGCAAGGAACCCCTGTTGGAGGTTCACGTGTTTGATTACGCGGGTAACCTCTACAACCGACTGCTCACGGTCACCTTCAAACATAAATTGCGTGATGAGTGTGCCTTCGATTCTATTGATTTGCTGAAGGCACAGATAGAGCGCGACCTGGGGCATGCTCAACAGTGGTTTGCGCAACAATGATCAAGTGGCTGTTGTTATCGGCGCTGGTTATAGCCCTGGATCAACTGACAAAACTCTGGGTCATTACCGTACTGGCCTATCAGGAACGTGTGCAGGTACTGCCATTTTTCGCCTGGGTGCGATGGCATAACGAAGGTGCTGCGTTTTCATTCTTGTCCAGTGCCGGTGGTTGGCAGCGCTATTTTTTTGTCGCGCTGGCTATCGGCTTTTCTGCTTTCATTGTTTATGAAATCAGTCGTCTGCAAAAACATGAGCGCGTCATGGGCTGTGTCTACGGTCTGATTCTGGGCGGAGCAATAGGCAATCTTATCGATCGCATCCACCATGGCTATGTGGTCGATTTTGTTCTCTTTCACTACGACAGCTATTACTTCCCCGCATTTAACGTCGCGGATTCAGCGCTTTTCTGCGGGGCGGCGTTGTGGATTGTAGTGATGATTGTGGAACACCGACAAAGTAAAAAGCAGATGAGTGCGGACAGTGATGGATGAGTTGATAGCCAGTAGCAATACAAAAATTGGTCCTACCAGTACTGTGACCCTGCACTTTTCACTGCTGCAGCCCGGCGGAAAAGAAATCGACACCACCCGAAACGGAAAACCGGCTACTTTTACTATGGGTGATGGCAGCCTGCTGCCTGGTTTTGAAGCAGTCCTGCTGGGTAAACAGGCGGGGTTCGCTGAGCAGATTGTGCTGCCAGCGACGGAAGCATTCGGCGAGAGGAACCCGGCAAATGTGCAGCTTATCAGTCGTGCTCGTTTTGCGCAGATGGATGGTGAACAGCCTCTGGAGGAAGGCCTGGTGGTGTCCTTTCAGGCGCCAGATGGCGAACTGCCCGGCGTTGTTGTCGCCGTTTTTGATGACACCGTGAAAGTTGACTTTAATCATCCCCTGAGCGGCACTGACATCATTTTTGATGTTTCGGTTCTGTCGGTGGAGGACCCTGCTTCCGCTTAGCCAAGCAAACCCTTTCAACTGCAGTTGAGGTCTCTGCCTCGTGCATCTTCATGAATGCCGTCGCCATCTGCATCTCGTGACGGATACGTGCGTCCGGCAACATTCAGGATGAGCTGACGTGCCAGCACTGGATCGCCGCTGTCCGGGCAATACAGAAGGTTACCGTTCTGCCAATCCGTTAGTCCTGAGCCGTTGAACTGCAGATAACTGCGGCTGCGAAACGCGCGCCAGTAAATCTGCCCGCTGTTGATGGGGTTAAGGTATCCCACGATGACGTCTGCTGCGGTTCGTGTGCGGGTGTTGTCGCGGTCTTCGAATATGATTGCGCCGGCACGCCAGGTGTTGCGCGGTCCGCAGACATCACCTAGACGTGGGCAGATGATAACGTTGACATTTTTGTTAATCGCCGTCTGCCGGGCCAGATGTATGCCAGCACGTAGATCCTGCAGCGCACTTCTGGCCTGATGAGACTGCACCAGTGTCTGCATACCCGGGAGTGCGAAGGCCATGATGATTGCGGCCAGAGCCATAGTGGTTAGCAGCTCCAGCAGTGTGAAGCCTTCCTGTAATCTGCACATGAACCCAGCATGCCGGTGCAGGATTGCAGTGGCTGTAGGTCAGGGTAGCCCCGCGGTGTGGGTTATTCCAGGTCGAGCTTTTTCAGTTTATAGCGCAACGCTCGGAAGGTAATACCCAGGTCCTTTGCGGCGGCTGTTTTATTCCAGCGATTGGCGTCCAGCGCCTGGGTAATCAGCGCTCGTTCAATACCTTCCAGATAGTCCTCCAGACTGACTCCAGGCGGCAGAGTAATACTGTCATCGCCTGCTTCTGCAAGCTGCTCGGAGACTTCATCAGGTGTTTCAATAAATGGCTTGTCTTGACGACGTTCAGCGGCAGCTGGTGGCGGTGCAGCACTGTGAGTGTTAGCCAATTGTAGATCCGCTGGCGCAATCTGATTGTTTTCACACAGGGTAAATGCGCGCTCAAGTACGTTTTCCAGTTCACGAACGTTGCCTGGAAAAGAATACTGCAGGAGCGTGGCCAGCGCGTCGTCAGTTACCACTGGTGCACTGCTGCCGTATTCCTGTGCCAGGCGTTGCAGGCAGGCATTGGCCAGCTCAGGGATGTCGTCAAGGTGTTCGCGTAGCGCCGGGATGCGCAGCTCGATGACGTTGAGGCGATAATATAGATCCTGCCGAAAGCGGCCGCTGTCGACCTCGTGGCTTAAATCTTTATGGGTTGCACATAAGATACGCACGTCGGTAAGGTCCTCGCTCTGGGAACCCACCGGGCGAACGGCTTTTTCCTGTATCGCGCGTAACAGCTTCACTTGCATGGCCAGCGGCAGGTCGGCGACCTCATCAAGGAATAACGTTCCTGTGCCTGCCGCCTGGAATAGGCCTTCCTTGTCGCTGACTGCACCCGTAAAACTACCTTTAACATGGCCAAAAAATTCACTTTCCATCAGTTCCGATGGGATAGCGCCGCAGTTGACAGGTATGAATGGGCCAGCGCTGCGTGGCCCCTGAGAATGAATCATACGTGCGGCCACTTCTTTACCCGAGCCTGACTCGCCGCTGATGTAAATAGGTGCCTGGCTTCGCGCCAGCTTGTTGATCTGCTGTCGCAGACGACCCATTGCTGCGGACTGTCCAAGTAAACTGTCGTCCGCTTCAGGGTCCGTATTCTCCTGCAGATCGCTCATTTTCAGCGCGGAGTCAATCAGGCTGCGCAGCTGTTCAAGGTCAATGGGTTTCTGCAGGTAGTCAAAAGCACCTGCTTTTAATGCCGCAATGGCGGTATCCATGCTGCCAAATGCAGTGATCATCGCGACGGGCAGGTCCGGGTAGTGCAGGTTGATGTGTTCAACAATCTCCAAGCCGTTACCATCGGGTAAGTGCATGTCCGTCAAACACAAGTCAAATGTCTGTTCGCCCAGTCGCGCCAGCGCCTCCGCCTGATCTGCGGCGGTCACGGTTTCCAGTTTCATGCGGCCGAGGGTGATCTCTAACAATTCACGTATGTCGGGTTCATCATCGATGATAAGTGCGCGTTTAAGAGCCATGGTTTTTATAACCTTGATCTGTCCGTCTGTTATTTATAGCAGGCTTACTCTGCCTGTTTCCGTGATCCATCTGGTTCATGCAGTGAGTCTGTTCGGGTGGGCAAAGAGAATTCGAAAACAGCTGCCCCCGGATTCTGTAGGCGCATAACTTAATTGCGCCTGGTTTGATTCGCACAACTCCCGGGACAGGTACAGGCCCAGACCGGTGCCTTTGCGCGAAGAGGTTGTGAACGGCTGAAACAGGCTGTCAACCAGTTCGTCCTCGACGCCTTGACCGTTATCCACAATGTTTAAGAATGGGCGACCGGAGCCTGGGTCCATACCCCCTTCCAAACGCACCGTTGGACCATTGCCATTCTCTTTTGAGTAGCGAATGCCGTTGTCGACGAGATTGGTAAGTGCCTGACTGAGCTGATTAGGATCCATGCGTATTTCTGTCGTTGCAGGCGTCACTGCAATTTCCAGCCTGGCCTCCGGCTGGGACTGACAGAATGCCTCCGAGAACTCCTTTAGATGGTCGAGCAGATTCACCCGCTGAGGCTCGGGTCTGGCCCGACGTGACATTTCCAGAACGTTTTCAACCACGCCATTCATACGATGACAGTGGCTGATGATGATGTCTGTCAGACGTTGATCAGGGGGTTGCAGCTCTTCGGATTCGTTAAGCAGCTGAGCGGCATGGGAGATAGCGCCCAATGGGTTACGTACCTCGTGAGCAATGCTGGCTGACAGACGGCCCAGCTCCGCCAGTTTGAGCTGTTGAGCCTGTTGCTGGATCTCGCCTGTGTCTTCCAGAAAAATGGTCACGTCGCCATTGGCGTCGTCGTTGCGTACCGCCGAGAAGTTGGCCCGGATCGCAGGTGCGGTTGCGGAAATCTGGAAGGGTTGCTCACGACGATCCGTGTTGGCGCGCCAGGCGCTTAACGCATCATTTAGCGGGGCGGGTAAATGATCGAGATTGTCTTCGCTTTGCGTGCCCATTAAAGCGCGGGCTGACTGGTTGAGCATGCGCACATCGTTGTTCTGATCGACGACGATAATACCCGTACGCATGCGCTGGATGATCTGTCGATTGAGGCGTTCCAGATCCGCAAGTTCCACAGCCTGGGTCAGTGCGCGGATATCATTCTGACGAATCCGATTGGACAGTCTTTGAATCGTAAACGATGCCGCGAAATAGATGACCCCAAAAATTCCTGCCTGCAGAAAATCGTCGTTAGCATTGCTGGTGGAAATGCGCAGGTAGAACTCTTCGTACAGCACTGCAATGCTGGCCAGGGCAGCGATGAAGGTGGCACGACGCCCCGTGACTAAAATTGCGCCGGTGACGACGGTGATCAGGATCAGCGCTGCGACGCCACTGCTGATACCGCCTGAGGTAAACATGATGACCGTCAGGGACAAGACATCAAAAATTACCAGACCGAGGCTTAAATTCTGCTGCTGTCCCCAGGCTCTGGGTACAAAACGGTGGAATAGTGCTGATGCGACATTTACGCCGGTGTAAATGACTGCGGTGATTAGAAACAGGCGGGGCTCTAAAGAACCGAGTTTCGTTGCAAACAGATCCTGCTGGTAGGCCACCAGAATCGCCAGGCCGATGAACATCCGGTAATAGTTATAGATGTTCAGCAGGCCGGTGCTCAGGGCCACGCGCCGGCGTTCGATCTCAGCGATGATGTCCGTATTCTGTGTGCTCAAATGAATCCCCGCAGCGGCGGTGGTTGCGGTGGTTGCAATGGCGAAAGTTTAGCCGATAAAAGGTAACCAGCTGAACCAGCCCCGGCTTTTTTCTTTCTCACTACCCGGTTGTGGCTCGACGGCAGGCGGTGTGAATCCTTCGGGGTGCACGATTCGAAGCGGTGGTGGCACCTCAGGTCGATCGAACAGGCCAAGGGTCATTATATTTGTCCATGAACGATCGCGATTGCGGATGGTATTGGTTAACACCAGATTCCCACCTTCGTCGAAAGCTGGATGTTGCGGATAGTTCAGCGACAGAATGCGCAGGGCGTTGTTGGCTTCGTCCTGTAAACCGAGCCGATAATTGCTCTCCACCAGGACCAGCAGCGCTTCGTCCGTCGCCTCTGATTGAGGATAGGTCTCAAGTACGTATCGAGCGCGGTTTGCCGCGGCAATGAACGCGCCGCGCCGCATGTAGTAGTCGGCGACCGCAATCTCGGCGCGGGAGAGGATGTTGCGCAGATAGATCATGCGCTGAGTTGCATCCGGAGCATATTGACTGTTCGGATAGCGGGCCAATAACTGGCCCAGGTCGGCGTAGGCCGCTCGCATGGGTGCCATATCACGTTTGGAGATATCTATTTCGAACAGTCTATCCATCAACCCTTCGTTTTTACTAATGCCGGATAAGCCTTTGATATAGAAAGCATAATCGATATTCGAATGTTGGGGATGCAGGCGAATAAAACGATCCGCTGCCGCCGTTGCGCCATCCAGATCAAATGACTGATAGCGTGCGTAGATCAGTTCCAGTTGAGCCTGTTCAGCGTAACGGCCAAAGGGAAAGCGTGCCTCCAGTAATTCCAGCTGGCCAATGGCCTGTTGATAGTTGCCGGAACGAAGATAGCGCTGGGCATCACGATACAGTCGCTGCTCGCTGGTTTCTGCGGTAATGTCCGGCAGTTCGTCGTCTCCGCCGATAAAAGGCATCCAGCTGCACGCGCCCAGCGCAGTGGTGAAAACCACTAAAAGTGCAATTGAAAAAGCGTGTTTTGGGGATCGGGTGCGAACATCGTGTTGCTGGATCAAAATAACGGGCCACGAAAAGGGTTAAGATGGCGCTATTCTTTACAAATTTGATTCGGTTGCAACCGCATGGACAGTATTAGTGAAGATAAAGTGGTTCCGGCTGAGCAGGCGGGGGAGCGTATCGACAAAGCTGCAGCACATCTGTTTGCAGATTTTTCCCGCGCAGAGCTGGCTCGCTGGATCACTTCAGGTGAACTTACAGTGGACGGGAAGGCTGTTAAACCGCGTGAAAAGTTGCGTGGTGGCGAGCATCTGACGCTGCGGGCGCAGCGCGTGGTGCGTGAAGCCTGGCAGGAAGCTCAACCCATCGAGCTGGATATTCTTTATGAAGATGAACATCTGCTGGTGATCAATAAGCCGGCGGGGTTGGTGGTGCATCCCGGCGCGGGTAACCCCTCCGGTACCCTCGTGAACGGCTTGTTGAACCATCGTGACGCCTTCAGCCGGCTGCCACGAGCTGGCATCGTGCATCGCCTGGACAAAGATACCAGTGGGGTCATGGTGATCGCTGCGGATGAACTCACCCAGCTGCGTCTGTCCCGCTTGATTGAACAGCGCAAAATAAGCCGTGAATATGAATGTGTGGCGGAAGGACGAATGGTTGCCGGCGTCGATGTGGATCGCCCGATAGGCCGAGACCCTCACGTACGCACCCGTCAGGCGATTGTAGAAGAGGGTAAACCCGCGCAGACTCAGTTTCGTGTGCTGCAGCGATACCGTGCGCACACGCTGGTCCATGCGCGCCTGCAGACAGGCCGTACCCATCAGATCCGCGTGCACATGCAGAGTATTGGTTATCCCCTGGTAGGGGACAAACGCTATGGCGCACGCGGCAAGCTACCGCCGGGTTGTGAGCCGGAACTGATACATCTGATGCAGAATTTTCCTCGACAGGCGTTACATGCCAAGCGAATCGCCTTTGAGCATCCGATTAGCCAAGCGCAATTGGAGGTTGAGGCTACCTGGCCTGAGGATTTTGCTGGATTAGTCGCCGGCTTGCAGGCGGACGTTGGCTAGCTCATCCATGTGGCAGACAGCTGAGGTCCCTTTGCCTCCAGGTTTGCTGGTGGGTTGTACGCTGGCAACTGGTGGCGTCTCTGTGGGTGACTATGCTGAGTCGAATATGGCTTTGCACGTGGGTGATGATGCAGGCGCCGTGAACGAAAATCGCAGAACCCTGAAAGGGATACTCGGTTACAGACAGGTGCAGTGGCTGAATCAGACCCATGGACAGAACTGTGTAAAAGCGCCCACTGCAGATCTCGACGTGCCGCCCGAGGCGGATGCGTCCTGGACAACACAGTCCGGTCTGGCTCTGGCGGTGTTAACCGCTGATTGTGTACCGATTTTACTCTGGTCCGAACGTACGATGGCAATAGCGGCAGTACACGCAGGTTGGCGGGGTCTGCACAATAAGATTTTGCAGCACGCCTTAACCTCGATGGGGCAGCCCCCGTCACAGCTTTGTGCCTGGATCGGCCCATGTATCAGTGCCCAGCACTATGAGGTGGGAGAAGACGTCTGGGGCCAGTTCAAAGCTGATTTTCCAGCATGTCTGCAGCCTCATCCTGATGATGCCGGTAAGCGCTTCCTGGACCTGCCTGGGGTTGCGCAGTTGCAGCTCAATCGAGCCGGCGTGAAACAGGTTTATTTATCCGAATGGTGTAGTTTTGCCGATCCGCGATTCTATTCATTTCGCCGTGATGGGGTGACAGGTCGGATGGCGTCCATCATTGCGCGGCTTGATTAACCGCCGCAGCCAGATATCCGGGGCGTTTTTCTAGGCGTTGCAGTTTTCCACAATGCCGCGTTGAGCCGCGGCAATCTTTTCCTGCCGTTCCTCTTCGGGCAGAACGCGCTCTATACCGGTTTCGGAGCGGACGCGAATGCGGTCCTTGGCGGTCAGGTTGGCCAGTACCCGGCGGGAGCGTTCACAGTTATCCCGTTTGATTTGAGCAACCTGCGCCTGGCGATCTACTTCAGCCTGTTGCAGACCCCGCAGCATCTCCTGCTGATCTCCTGTGAGTTCAACCTGATTCTGAGTCTGTGGCGTAAAACTGGGTGCTGGTGAACTGGACGGTGCCCGGCTGCTGCTAGTTCCGGCTCGGGTTGTCACGCTGGCTACGCGGGTAATGCGGCTGTCAGGCACGCCTCGTGGTTTACGTTCGGCGTAATTGACCACACCGTTGTCGTCAACCCAGCGATAAGTATCGGCAGCGCTGGGTATCGATACAAGCGCGCTCAGCATGAAGACGCATGAGCAAATGAACATGTGAAAGGCTACTTTTGTCATCCTGGACTCTTTTCAGCTGCAGATCTGGCTTGGATTGAGAATAACACACGGTGTGCTTGTGCAACTGTACAATGCCGGGAAAATGTTACCTGGCTCTCAGTTTCATTGACATACTGGGCCGATATCACAAGAATACGGCGCTCGTTTCCCGGTGCTGGGCAGGTTGTTCTGCACAAACATCGGCAAATCAAAGGGTTATCGCGACTTCCGCTGTTCGCAGATGCCCCGACAATCGTGAATTCGCGCTATTTAACTAAACGGCAGTAGAGGTTCCACAATGGCAGACATGTTGTCTGGTGGCGATATGTTGATTCGTGCGTTGCAGGACGAAGGCGTTGAATACGTCTTCGGTTACCCTGGCGGCGCCGCATTACACATTTATGATGCAATTTTCCGACAGCAGAAAGTGGAACACCTGCTGGTGCGTCATGAACAGGCCGCCACCCACATGGCCGACGGCTATGCCCGAGCGACGGGCAAAACCGGTGTGGTACTTGTCACCTCAGGCCCTGGCGCAACAAATGCGATCACAGGGATTGCAACCGCCTATATGGACAGTGTGCCGATGGTGGTCATTTCTGCACAGGTACCCCAGGATCAGATTGGCACAGATGCTTTTCAGGAAACCGATATGGTCGGCATTTCCCGGCCGGTGGTTAAGCACAGCTTTGTGGTGAAGCAGGCGGCAGATATCCCTGGGATTGTGAAAAAAGCGTTTCACCTGGCCTCTACCGGGCGCCCTGGACCTGTTGTTATTGATGTGCCAAAGGATACAACGGACCCGTCAGTGCTGGCCGAGTATGCCTATCCAACCTCAGTCAAGATGCGTTCGTACAATCCGGCGGGTAAAGGCAACGGTCGTCAGATTCGTAAAGCTGTCAGCGCTCTGCTGAAAGCCAAGCGCCCGGTGTTGTACGTTGGTGGCGGTGTAATCATGGGTGAAGCCTGCGATAACCTGCGTCAGCTGGCGGGTTTACTCGGATATCCGCTGACCAATACGCTTATGGGGCTTGGCGCTTTTCCCGGCGCAGACCCGCAGTGCATTGGCATGCTCGGTATGCATGGCACCTACCAGGCCAACATGGCGATGCACGAAGCTGACCTGATCTGTGCAATTGGTGCGCGTTTCGATGATAGGGTGACCAACAATCCAGATAAGTTCTCACCCAGCGCAACCATTATTCACATAGATGTCGACCCCGCTTCGATCTCAAAAATTATTGAAGCTGATATCCCGATAGTAGGCAGCGCAGATCAGGTGCTGGCGGGTATGGTGGCTGAAATCACCAAGGAGTTGGCCAGCGAATCTGCTGAGGTGAAAGAAAAGCGCAGTCAGCGTATTGATAAATGGTGGGCGACTGTTAATGCATGGCGAGACAGCCATGGTTTGAATCATGATCTCGAGCCGCAGCCCGGACAGCGGATCCTGCCGCAGTTGGCCATGCAGGCAATGTACAAAATCACCAAAGGTGATGCGTTTGTGACGTCAGACGTCGGCCAGCACCAGATGTTTGCTGCCCAGTATTATCACTTCCCTGAGCCACGTCGTTGGATCAACTCCGGAGGCCTGGGTACCATGGGGTTCGGCCTGCCTGCAGCCATGGGTGTGCAGATGGGTTTCCCTGATGCAACGGTTGTCTGCGTTACCGGCGAAGGCAGCTTCATGATGAACATGCAGGAGTTGTCTACCTGCCTGCAATATGGTCTGCCTATAAAAATCCTCAACCTCAACAATCAGGCTCTGGGCATGGTGAAGCAGTGGCAGGATATGCAGTATGGTGGTCGTCATTCACAAAGCACCTATAGTGACTCGTTACCAGACTTTAAAACCCTGGTCGAGGCTTTTGGTCATGTCGGTATTAAAGTGTCGACCGTTGAAGAGTTGCAGCCGGCTTTAGAGCGTGCGTTTTCGGCGGAACTGAAGAACAAGCTTGTCTTTATAGATGTGTGGGTGGATCCTGAAGAGCACGTTTATCCTATGGCCATTAAAGGTGGTGCGATGCGAGATATGATTCTCAGCAAGTCGCTCACGACGGAGAACGTCTGATGCGTCGCATTCTTGCAGTTTTATTAGAAAACGAGGCGGGCGCTCTGTCGCGGGTTATCGGTTTGTTCAGCCAGCGCAACTATAATATCGAGTCGCTGACAGTGGCGCCGACTGAAGACCTGACCTTATCGCGTCTTACCATCACCACCGCGGGTGATGAACGAACCATAGAGCAGATTACCAAACAGCTGCATAAGCTGGTTGAGGTTGTGAAGGTCATGGACCTGTGTGAAGGCGATCATGTAGAGCGTGAATTGATGTTGATCAAGGTGCGTGCCAGTGGTGCTGCGCGACAGGAAATAAAACGCACCGCAGATATCTTTCGTGGACAGATTGTTGATGTCACAGCAGACACTTATACCGTTCAGTTAGTCGGACCGAGCGACAAACTGGATGCGTTTTTACGCGCTATTGAGAAAGCCTCAATTTTGGAAGTAGTTCGATCTGGCGTTTCCGGAGTAGGGCGCGGCGATCGCGTTTTATCCATCTAGGCTAGAAATTTTTAGAGAGAGTAGGGGCGTACCGTTGCTGGGCGTCTATTACATAAGCACACCTTAAAACGGGAAAATACCATGCAAGTTTATTACGACAAAGACGCTGACCTTTCGCTGATTCAAAAAATGAAAGTTGTCATTGTGGGTTACGGTTCACAGGGCCATGCACATGCTAACAATCTTCGCGATTCCGGCGTGGGTGAGGTTGTGGTAGGCCTGCGTAAAGGTTCAGGCTCGTGGCGTAAAGCGGAGAACGCAGGCTTTAAAGTGGCTGAAGTTGCAGACGCTGTACAGGGTGCAGACCTGGTCATGATCCTGGTGCCGGATGAACTGCAGCCAGCGTTGTATAAGAACGATCTCGAACCTAATCTTAAAGAGGGCGCGGCGATGGCGTTTGCCCATGGCTTTAATGTGCACTTTGAATTGATTGAGCCGCGTGCAGATCTTGATGTGATCATGATTGCACCCAAAGGCCCCGGTCATACTGTGCGCTCCACCTATGTGGCAGGCGGTGGTGTGCCAAGCCTGATTGCGGTGGCCCAGGACGCAACCGGCCAGGCGAAAAACATTGCGCTTTCGTACGCCAGCGCTAACGGCGGTGGTCGCGCAGGTGTCATTGAAACGAATTTCCGTGAAGAAACTGAGACAGACCTGTTCGGCGAGCAAGCCGTCCTGTGTGGTGGCGCTTCAGCCCTGGTCCAGGCGGGTTTCGAAACGCTGGTGGAAGCCGGTTATGCTCCAGAAATGGCCTACTTTGAGTGTCTGCATGAACTGAAACTGATTGTTGACCTGTTTTACGAAGGTGGCGTCGCCAACATGTGGTATTCGGTGTCCAATACAGCTGAATATGGCGGTCTTACCCGCGGTTCTCGGATTGTCACCGACGAGACGAAAAAAGAGATGAAAAAAATTCTCGAAGAAATCCAGACCGGGCGTTTTGCGAAAGAGTTTGTTCTGGAAAGCCAGTCTGGGGCGCCCAGCATTAAAGCTATGCGGCGCATCTCTCAAGAGCACGGAATAGAAGAGGTGGGTTCCAAGTTGCGCGGTATGATGCCTTGGATCCAGGAAAACCGTCTGGTCGACAAAGACGTCAACTAACCGTTGCGCCGATTAGACAAAGCCGCCGTTTAGAGGCATCTTCTACCTGGTGTACGGGAATGAACAGAGGTGCGCACTGCGCGCACCCCAAAACAGACGACTGCGCAGGTGAAACATGTCTGATCCAGAAGATAAATCTTTGCGGGTGGTGCCTGAGGTCGAAGAGTATGGCGAGCCGGAAGGCGAAAATGGCGATAACCACGATGCAGCCGGTGCTGAAGCGGATGCGCTTGGTCATATGAGTCGTCGCGAACGCTTTCGCAAGCGTGGTATCTATCTACTGCCTAATCTCATCACCACCGGAGCACTTTTTGCCGGGTTTTATGCCATTGTCGCAGGCATGAACGGTAATTTTGTTGCGGCCTGCCTGGCGATATTTGTCGCTGGGGCGCTTGATACTGCGGATGGCCGCGTTGCACGCCTGACCAATACCGAAAGCCAGTTTGGTGCCGAATACGATAGTTTGTCGGATATGGTGGCTTTTGGTGTAGCGCCTGCTCTGGTTGCTTTCTCATGGGGCCTTTCCAGTCTTGGGCAACTTGGCTGGGTCGCCACCTTTGTCTATATGGCCTGTGCCGCTTTACGCCTCGCACGGTTTAATACAAAGGGTGATAACGCCAGTTTTACCGGATTAGCCAGCCCGTCAGCCGCTGCGATTATTGCCTGCAGCATCTGGGCCTGGGTCGAATACGGCGGTGGGGTACCCGGCGTCATCGGTTCCGGAATCATGGCCGCCGTCACCACGCTGGCGGGACTGTTGATGGTATCGAACTTCACCTATTTTTCACCCAAACTGCTGAACTTCAAAGACCGGGTGCCTTTTGTCACGATGGTTTTTGTGGTGCTGGGTTTCTCCATTCTTATGGTGGATCCGCCTACTGTGTTGTTGTTCCTGGCCATCACCTATGCGTTGTCCGGTCCTGTGCTGTATACCTGGAAACGGATCCGCAGACGGAACTTAAAAGGCTGAGCAGGGCCTAAACAAACAAATCAGCCAGACCCGCAGGCAGCCAATGTCCCGATACCGACCCGCGCCCATTCCCAGCTCCGAAATAACGCCGGAATCAATTTACCTGAATCGGCGGGCGTTCATGAAGAACAGCGCTGTGCTCGCTGCTGGTGCCTCACTTGCCTCGCCAGCTGTTGCTGGCCTGCAACCTGACGATGATATCACGCCGGAACAAATCGCTACCTCCTACAACAATTTTTATGAGTTTGGTACCGACAAAGGCGACCCGGCAAGATATGCCCATGAGCTCACCACCGACCCCTGGCGCGTTTCAGTTTCCGGTGAGGCGGGCAAAACCGGCGAGTTTGAATACGCCGACATTATCAAAGGCATGATGGTAGAAGAACGTATTTACCGGTTTCGTTGTGTTGAGGCCTGGTCCATGGTGGTGCCCTGGATGGGTATTCCCCTGAAAAAAATCCTGCAGCAGTTTGAGCCCAACGGTAATGCCAAATATGTTGAGTTTAAGACTCTGGTACGGCCATCCGAGATGCGCGGGCAACGCAGTTTCTTTTCCGGCATCGATTGGCCGTATGTCGAAGGGCTGCGACTGGATGAGGCATACCACCCGCTGACAATTATGGTGGTAGGCATGTATGGAAAGACGCTGCCGAATCAGAACGGCGCACCCTGGCGCTTGATGGTGCCCTGGAAATACGGTTTTAAATCTATCAAATCTATTGTTGGCATACGTTTTACGGAGCGGCAGCCGCGCAATACATGGAATATGTTGGCAGCGAATGAGTATGGCTTTTACGCGAATGTAAATCCTGCTGTGAGTCACCCTCGTTGGAGCCAGGCGAGTGAGCGTCGCCTGCCAAGTACATTGTTTGATCCGAACACACGTCCGACGCTACCGTTTAACGGATATGCTGATGAGGTGGCAGATTTGTACGCAGGTATGGACCTCGCCAAGTACTATTGAAGGCGGCACTTACTCTCAAGGTGCTGCTGGCATCGCTGTTAAGTGCGCCACTGGTCTGGTTGGCCTGGCGGGTCAAGCTTGATTTAGACCAGCCTGGCAGCGGTTTGGGGCCGGATGCAGGAGAGACCCTGGTCCATTACCTGGGTGAGTGGTCTCTGGTGATGGTGTTGGTGGCGTTTTCAATTTCGCCGATGCGTCGCTGGACACATTATTCCGGGTGGCTGCGCAGTCGCCGCATGGTTGGTTTGTTTGCCTTCAGTTATGTGCTTCTGCATTTCTCCAGCTATTTGGTTTTCTATCTGGGCTTGTCCTGGCAGGCACTGTTTGAAGACTTTGTTGAACGCGCCTACATCACCGCCGGCATGGTCGCGTTCTTTTGTCTGCTCCTCATGACCTTGACTTCAACCCGTGGCTGGCAACGCCGCCTGCGCCAACGCTGGCAGCAGCTCCATCAACTTATTTATATCGCTATAGGCTCTGCGCTGGTGCACCTGGCGTGGCTCACCCGCGACGGCTACCTGGAAGTCGCCCTGTACAGTCTCTGGTTTGTGCTGCTGTGTTTTGAACGTTGGTCGGCAGGGGCGGGGCCGCGCTTCAGCTTGCGGCGCGACGTGCAATCACCGCCTGGCTGAGTTCTGCCAGGACTTTTTCGCTGTCTTCCCAGCCAATGCAGGCATCAGTAATACTCTGACCGTAGGTTAATTTGTCAGGCTCTGACTGAATATTCTGGCGACCGGCTACCAGATTACTTTCTACCATCACCCCAACAATATTGCGGTTCCCGTCTGCCAGCTGGCCACAGATTGAATGGCACACCTGCATTTGCTTATTGTGATCTTTCTCACTGTTGGCGTGGCTCATGTCCACCATCACGCCGCTGTTGATGCCAGCGGTGTCAAGGCGTTCCTGAGTTTGATCAATGCTTTTGCGATCGAAGTTTGTGCCGCTGTTACCGCCACGCAGAATAATGTGACAATCTGGATTGCCGGCAGTGGAAAAAATGGCTGAATGGCCTTTTTTTGTTACCGACAGGAATATGTGGGAATGTCCCGAAGAACGAATCGCATCCACAGCCACCTGGGTGGAGCCGTCCGTAGAATTCTTGAAGCCGATAGGACACGACAGGCCGGATGCCAATTGTCGATGAATCTGGCTTTCGGTTGTGCGTGCGCCAATTGCACCCCAGCTGACGAGGTCGCCAACATATTGAGGCGATATCGGATCAAGGAATTCAGTGCCCGCGGTAATCCCTAAAGCGTTAATATCCAGCAGGAGTTTACGTGCAATGGCCAGACCTTCGTTGATTTCAAATGAGTTGTTCAGATGTGGATCATTGATCAGGCCTTTCCAGCCAACAATGGTTCTTGGTTTTTCGAAGTAAACGCGCATCACCACCAGCAACTCTGACTTGTACTGGGCGGCACAATCGCGCAGGCGTTTGGCGTACTCGATGGCGGCGTGTGGATCGTGAATAGAACAAGGTCCGATAATCACCAGCAAGCGGTCGTCTTGTTTATGTACAATTCGAGCCAGCTCGGCGCGGGTATTGAATACCAGGGAAGAGGTCTGCGCGGTGATGGGCAGCTGTGACATCAACGTTTCTGGCGCAATGACTTCCTGCATGCCTGTGATGCGAATGTCGTCAGTGAGATATTGCATATGTTCTGGGCTTATTAGTTGGCAAATAGGAGGCGAATTCTAACTCATGGCTGGCGAGGAAAAACCGCAGATTTTGGATCTTCGACGATCAAAGATGCTGGCCGCTATGGGCATACAGGTCTGGCATCTGCGTCCAGCAGCGGGTGAGACCCCGGAGTCTGCTCCGGAACCGCCGTTGAAGCCCTCCCTGCCGGTGCCTGATAGACCCGATCCTGCGCCCGTGCCTGCGCCAGTCAAGACAACTGTGGAAACACCCACAACATCGGCTACAGAGCCACCGCCGGTACCCCTGGAATTTGTCTGGGTTAAAGGCACAGCATCCATGCTTGTTTTCAGTAGCGCTGCCAGTGCGGCAATCATTGCGCATGCCAAGGATGTGCTCCGTTATGCAGATTGGCGGACACAACACAGTGCGCCAAGCTCACTTAAGACCGGCGAGTTTAAGTGGCCGCAGCTGTTGGATACAACAACCGGGACACCTGGGCGGGCATTGGGTGTGTTTATTGAAAAGCACTTTCCTGATGAATGCCCCTGGTTTCTGGTGGCGGATGATCTGGCGGACGATCTGCTGCCCTGGTTGCGTCAATGTTTGCCAGGCGAGGCGGAGAAAAAAGCACTTGTCCTGCCAGGTTGGAATGAAAGTGTTGCCGATGCGGCGTTGAAGAAGCAGATATGGAAAACACTCCAGCAGATCGGCTAACCCACCGGGAGATGTCTCTCACCGACCTCGATCAGGTGCTCGAAATTGAAACCCGCGCTTATCAATTTCCCTGGTCCCGAGGCATCTTTATGGATTGTTTTCGAGGACGGAATATCTGTCGGGTAGCCTGCCTGGATGGGCGTGTTGTTGGACACGCGGTGTTAACCGTGGCAGCGGGTGAAGCTAACCTGCTGAATGTTTGTATTCAGCGTGATGCCCAGGGTAATGGTCTGGGTCGTGTCTTTATGCATCACCTTATAAAACTTGTTGGTAAGTTGGGCGCGCAGACAATGTTCCTGGAGGTGCGCCCGAGCAATAAAATCGCCATTGCCCTGTATCTTTCCCTCGGTTTTGTACAGGTGGGTCTGCGCAAAGATTATTATCAGTCAGAAGATGGGCGGGAAGATGCGCTGGTGATGGCGTTGCCTTGTGCAGGCACGTATAGCTGACAGTTTCGGTTGCTCAAAGTGATACGGCCTCTATACTGCGGCCCTTATTTTTACGCTTAGAGTGTCAGGTTATTCATCCTGTGCAGAACGCCATAGAAAATCGGCGCACGTTCGCCATCATCTCGCACCCGGATGCGGGTAAAACAACCATGACCGAAAAACTGCTGTTATTCGGCAATGCCATCAAGCTTGCTGGTGCAGTTAAATCCCGTAAAACGGACCGCCATGCGATGTCTGACTGGATGACGATGGAGCAGGAGCGGGGTATTTCCGTGACCACCTCAGTGATGCAGTTTCCGTATCGGGGCCGCACAGTCAATCTGCTTGATACACCGGGGCACGAAGATTTTTCTGAAGACACGTATCGAACGCTGACGGCAGTGGATTCCGCGCTCATGGTTATTGATGGTGCCAAAGGTGTGGAACCAAGAACCATCAAATTGATGGAAGTCTGTCGTCTTCGTGACACCCCAATCATTACGTTTATCAATAAGTTAGACCGTGAAGTTCGCGACCCAATAGAAGTCATGGACGAGATCGAAGACATTCTGCAGATTGAATGTGCACCGATGAACTGGCCCATTGGTATGGGGCGTGGTCTGAAAGGCATATACGATCTGGTCAATGATCGAATTATCGAATACCGACAGGGACAGGGGCATCATGTTTATGAATTCAACGTGATCAAAGGACTGGCCAGCGATGCAGCCAAAACATTGCTGGGACATGATTACGCTGACGTATGTGATGAAATTGAACTGGTACGAGGTGCAAGCCACACGTTTAATCACGAAGATTTTTTAAAAGCAGGGCTGACGCCGGTTTATTTTGGCACTGCATTGGGAAATTTTGGCGTCCAGCAGATGCTTGACGGCTTTGCGACTTATGCACCACCGCCCCAACCTCGTGAGAGCATGGAACGTCTGGTTGATCCTGGTGAAGACAAGTTTTCAGGTTTTGTTTTCAAAATACAGGCGAATATGGATCCCAAACACCGGGACCGCATTGCTTTTTTGCGGGTCTGCTCGGGTCGCTATGAACAGGGCATGAAAATGCAGCATCTGCGTTTGGGTAAGTCCATCAGAATAACCGATGCAGTCACGTTTATGGCGGGTGATCGTACCCACGCTGAAGAAGCATTTGCAGGTGACATCATTGGCTTGCACAATCATGGCACGATCCAGATCGGTGATACGTTCACTGAAGGCGAGGCGCTGAAATTCAAAGGCGTACCAAATTTTGCCCCTGAACTGTTCCGTCGAGTGCGGGTGAAAGATCCTTTGCGCTCCAAGCAACTTGAAAAGGGTATTACTCAGCTTGCTGAAGAAGGTGCTTCCCAGGTTTTCTTTCCGCTCAACAAAAATCAGATTGTTGTAGGCGCAGTTGGCGTCCTCCAGTTTGACCTGGTGGCCTATCGGTTGCAGGACGAATATCGCGCGGAATGTATCTGGGAAGACGCCAGCATCGCCGCTGCCCGCTGGGTACAGTGTGAAGATGAAAAAATGCTTACGGATTTTAAGAATAAGAACCAGGAAAACCTCGCCATAGACGGTGGTGGTTACCTGACTTATCTGGCAACCAGCCGGGTCAACCTGCAGGTGGTGACAGAGCGCTGGCCGGATGTGAAGTTTACCAAAACCCGTGAGCATTAAGTGACTTCGCCGGCGCACAAGTCGCTGGAGTGTTCGCGTAATTAAGCTATGCTTCAGTGACTGGGGGCGTTCACATGTCGGGTACTTATCGTCACTCCAGAACAGCAAAGCCCGGGTAACGGGGTGAAGTCGTAAGCAAAAAGAACAACCGTGGGGGTTTTTGGTGAGTGCAATTCTACTGGTAGATGACGACACATCAGTTCTGGATGTCATGAGCGAAATGTTGCGCCTTGAAGGCCATCAGGTCACCGTTGCTGAAAACGGTGAACAGGCTGTTGATTGTGTCAGTAAAGACGTCTTCGATCTGGTCATTACTGATCTGATCATGCCAGAGAAGGAAGGCCTCGAGACCATTGCCGATATTCGACGGCAGTATGCGCAGATGCCGATCATCGCTATTTCTGGCGGCGGTCGACTTGGTCCTAACGATTACCTTGAAACTGCAAAATTTATTGGTGCTAACGCCACCCTTGCAAAACCTTTTGCCCGCACCGAACTGATTAAAGCCGTAGACGCTTTGCTCGCCTGAGAGGCAGCAGCGTAGAACAACCATCGTGGTATCGACCGAAGCACTGACCTTGCAGATTGTAGATGCCGCAGGTCGTCAGGGCAGCGAAGTAGAGCTGGCGTTGTTGGTTGCACAGATTATAGATCCACCTGAGAACCCCGCACAGTTCGTGCAACGTATGCAGGTTTCGCTGAACGACCTTGCACAATGTGTAGATCGCAGTGATGCGGATGTTGTCGATGGCGTTCTGCAAACTCTGCAGCAAGCCGGTTTCAGCCAGCCCAGTCAGCCACAACAAAAGATCACGGAGCACCACAGCCATCTTGGGTGGGTGTTGCAGAATCGGCAGGGCATCCCTATTTCTCTGGCGGTTGTGCTCATTGCCGTGGCCCGCACTTGTGGTTTGTCAGCTTGGGGTGTGAATTACCCAGGTCATTTTCTGGTTAACCTTGAAGGTCGACTGGTTGATCCGTTGAGCCTGCAGATTGTGGATGAAGCGCATTTATTAAAACGTGGAGATACACCCGCTGATCTTGCCCGACACCTGCAGCCCGCCAGCCCGCAGAGTTTTGTGCTGCGCATGCTAAATAATTTAAAAGCGTTGCAGATGGCCAAACAGGGATGGTCGGGTGCTCTGGATATCATCGATTATCAGGTTGCCATTTGTGTGGCAGACGATGCGTTGGTGGCTACTTTAGAATATGAACGTGGCCAATGCTGGGTTCAGTTGGGTGCCTACGCTGTTGCCGCTCAGGCTTTTGCGCAGTGCGCCGAAAAAACTATCGAGCCCGAACTGGCGCGGCAGGCGCAGGAAAGAGTTGAGCAGCTGCGTCGCCGGACCGAAATTTTACACTAGCATGGAGGGCTTGAAACAATGCTTGCTCAGAGTGCTTGCCTTTACTGGTCAGATGATCCTTCGCTCATGTCCTGATACGGGTTAACGGTTGGCAGGGTAATGGGTTCAGCAAACCCAGGTATGCGCAGTGCCGTGTCAGAAAGACCCAGATCTGAACCTTCCAGAACGCCTTCTCCAAACTGATAAATGGGCAGAATAGAGCCATTGTCAGCATCATCATCGTAGGCTGTTGCGCGCTGCTTTACGGCTTCGTTAAGCGCTGCGTATTGAGCCATTTCTTTGCGTCCCCAGCGGCGTTCAAGCATCTGTTGGGTGTGCGCGGGTGATAAAAATAAACCTGTCGCATTGTTGCCGCCAAAGCCTTTGGAATTCACAAACGCGCCGGGAAAGGCCTGCGGGTCAATGTGGGTGTGCTGCATGGCGAGGTTCAGTCTGGTGTTGTGAACGTCTTCAGCGATATGATCAATGCTGGTGATGCCGGGCACAATGGCATCTTGCCAGGCGCCCAGGATGGCGCTCAACTGGTCGCCGCCGGCGGGGGCCATGGAATGACCAAGGTAACTTTTGACAGCGCCAACTAACCAGTTGTCGATGCCAAAAGTAGCCGCTAAAGAATCGAAAATATGAGATTCCGTGACGCGATTCTGTGGGGTGCCGGTGCCGTGTGCCTGCATGTAAGTGCCGTGCTGCAGCGTCTTTTCTCCCAGCATGGCGCGCGCAGCTGCCATGGCTTTGGCCACCGTTACATAGTTTCCGATACCGGGCCCGGATACCGATTTCTTGTAGCCATCGGCGTTAACAAAAACATCACCGACTGAGGCGAGAATCTGAGCACCTTGTTCAATCGCCAGCCTGTCGTCCATCAGCACAACCCAGGTGGATGATTCCGCCACTGTAAATCCCGCGTTGTCTGAAAACGGCCTGCAAGCGCGACGGTTGTTCACCGTGTCTGTGCCATCCAGGGACATCAGCGCTTCATCTTCCGCCAGAGCACCCATGGTGCGATAACCTTCGATGACATAGGGTGTGATCGGCGCTTCGGCGTTGCCAACGATTACGATGCGCTTCTGGCCGCTGCGAATATCATCCATTGCACGTTTGACGTTGTACAGGAAGGTTGCGCAGGCGCCGATGATGCCTGCAGTTTCTCCCACGGAGCCCAGTACATATGCGTTGACAAAATCACCAGCCATTTCAGGCAAGCCCAGTGCGATCTGTTTGGAAGTGGGCCGTCTTCCAGTGAGAGGGTTCTGTAACAAACCACCATAAGATTCCTGGTCCAACTGACCCATTGCTGAGCCGGAATACACTGCAATCTGATCCGGTTGCACCATGTCCTTGAGTTGTGCAGGCGAAAACCCGGAAGAGCGTATGGCATCTGACGCGCCATACACGGTGATCTGTAAAGCGCGCGGGTGGTTGCGGCTTGCATAAAGGCTGCCGGGGTCAAATCCAGTAGGCAGTTGACCGGCGCTGGTGACCCGAGAGGCTCGAAGCTGCGGCAACAGAACGTCCAGTGGTTTGTCAGCATTAACGTGAACCTGTTTGTCGTCAAGGTCTTTAACGTGCCAGCCGTCGGGAATTGTGTCGGGTAACTGGCGTTTGCTGATAACAAAAGACAGCGGTGTATCCATGCTGCCGGCAAGTGTTGCGTTGGTTTGCCAGTTTACTTTGTCTGGGTCGAATCCTTCGATACGACGGATTAACGTGTGATCGGTGATGTACTGGCGGGTTTGTGGCTTGCTTGCCTGGTTGTCATCCAGCGCCATTATCTGAGCCAGGCTTGCGTAGGTGCGCGCCTGCTTGTGCTCGCTCAGCGCGTCTATAACCAGGCGCCGGTAAGCATGGTTAAATGACAGACGACCAGCAGGGTTGATGCCGCCGAAGCCAACAATGACGGGGAGTGGAATCAAGGACGTTCCAGAGCAATTGCTGTGGCTTCACCACCGCCAATGCATAAAGCGGCGATGCCGCGCTTTTTATTCATGTTTTTCATGGCATGGGCAAGCGTCACGATAAGACGACTGCCGGTGGAACCGATGGGATGACCTTGGGCACAGGCGCCGCCAAACACATTAACGCGTTTGGGGTCGAGGTTGAGCTCCTGGATAGCCAGCATCGTGACCATGGCAAAAGCTTCGTTGATTTCAAACAGATCAACCTCATGCAGGTCCCAACCGATTTTTTCGACCAGTTTGTTGATTGCTCCAACCGGTGCGATGGTGAACTCGCTAGGGTGAATGGAATGTGTCGTGTGCCCGACGATCTTCGCTAGCGGCTCGCCGGTGAACGTGCCTTCTCGGGCCAACAGCAGGGCGGATGCGCCATCTGATATGGACGATGAATTTGCTGCGGTGATGGTGCCATCAGCTTTAAAAGCTGGCCGCAGGGTGGGGATTTTTTCCAGCTTGGCGCGGCCGGGCTGTTCGTCATCTTCGACTAAACCTCCAGCGGTTTCCATGGGGGAAATTTCATCCGCCAGGCTTTTGTTCACAATTGCCGCGCGCGCCCGGGTGACGGACTCGGTGGCATAGTCATCCATGGCGGTGCGGGTGAGTTGATACTGGTCGGCTGTGGCCTGTGCAAAAGACCCCATTGATCCGCCGGTTTCAGCATCTTCCAGACCGTCCAGAAACAGGGTGTCCTGCATGCTGGTATGGCCCATGCGCAGTCCTGCACGTGCCTTTCCCAGCACGTATGGTGCGTTGCTCATGCTCTCCATTCCGCCCGCGATAACCCGGTCGGCAGAGCCCGCCCGAATCAGGTCCGTTGCCAGCATGGCGCATTTCATGCCGGAGCCACAGACTTTGTTGACCGTTGTCGCGCCAACCGCATCAGGTAGTCCGGCGGTGCGCATAGCCTGTCGGGCAGGGGCCTGTTTGAGGCCCGCGCTGACCACGTTGCCAAAAACAACTTCGTCAATATCCGCTGGGTCTACCGAGGCCGCTTGAATGGCTGCTGCAATGGCGTGGGCACCCAGCTCCGGGGCGGTGAATTTGGACAGTTGTCCCTGAAAGCTTCCCACAGGTGTGCGCGCGGCACTGACCAGATAAACGTCGTTACTCACTAGCAGGCGCTCCTTCAAAATATGCGTTGGAAAACATGCATGTTACTGGCCCGGGTGGCCAAGGGCCAGTCTCACAAGGCCACTATTGCTCGCGAAAGCGCGGTATCAGCTCGGCAAAGTTGCAGGGTTTGAAGGTAACATCCAGCTGATTGCGGATGATTTTCTCCCAACCGGTTTTTGCAGCGCCGGTAGAGCCTGGCAGGCAGAATATCAGCGTGGCATTGGCAAGGCCGCCCAGGGCTCTGGATTGGATGGTCGATGAACCTATCTCATCGAAGGAAAGCTGTCTGAACAGCTCACCGAAACCATATATTTCTTTATCCAGAAGCGGGGAGATGGCCTCAGGCGTGCTGTCCCGCCCGGTAAAACCCGTACCACCGCTGGTGATAATGACTGCAATGCTTGGGTCAGCGATCCACGCGGACATCCTGGCGCGTATCTGATAGACGTTGTCTTGCACGATTTCGCGACTGTGAAGGGCGTGGCCTGCAGCGGTAATCGCCTCGCTGAGATACTCGCCAGAGGTGTCCTCTGCTGCGGTTCTCGTGTCAGATATCGTCAATACGGCA